AAAGGATAGTTTTTCCTGGTGTTTCCTTTGGGTATTTCCTTTGGTTTTTCTTGAGTTGCCAAAAAAGGAAATTTTTTAAAATTTTTGTGATTTGCGGGAATTATTGAATTATTATATTATATATTAATAATAAAATATAATATATATATTGTTAACATCTCTCTTAAAAAGTCTGTTATTTCTTTAAAACACTTTATATATAAGGTCAGGCAAGTATTTGGCTTTTTTACTTGAGGTGTGTGATTTGTTTAACAAGTTCTATTAATTCTTTTTTTCTTTTTCTATTGTTTACTTTTCTTGACAAATCTTTATCACTTTTTCCTTTGTAATCCCAATTGTTCTATTTTATAACAAGTATTGAATTAAATAAGTTAATTAGAATTTACTTAGTTAAGCAATGGTAATCTCATATCCAAATTAAGAAGTTTTAATTTAGGAAATGTCTTTTTATTATTATTGATTTTTCTTTTTCCATACTACTATTGCTCTCTTTTCTTTTTTTTCTTTTTTTCATTTTATTTTATCTGGTATATCTTTATTAAACTATAATTATATCATGTGATTTTCCTTAAATTCTGATAAACTATTTGTAATTAATAAGCTATTTAAAGTTATGGCTAATTTAAGTTTCTTTAAAATTATATTATAGTTTTATATGTTGCTATAGATTATAAGTTATTGATTATTGAAAATCAGAATATGCAATGTGCTAAAATATGTTTGTGCAGTTATGCTTCATATCAGTTCCTCACCAACAATATATATTATATATTAGTTTATTGTTTATTATAATAAATATATTTTTAAAACTCTTGAAATAAAAAAAAGAAAAAATTTATTTACTCCTGATTGTAAAATATAAAATTAAAATTATTTATATTTGATTAAAAAAAAAAGATATATTTGAAATTAAATGATATTTGTTATTAAAACAGTTAATTTTTATAAAAAAGTTATAATTGATTATAATATTTAATATGACTTATTATTTATATACAATCAATTAAAATTTTTTTTTATTGTTAAGATCAATAGTAATATTTTTTATATAAAAATATATAGCTATTAAAATATTATTTAAAAAAATTTAATTTGTATTAAAAATAGTATAATATATTAAATCTATATAAAATATTAATATATATATATATTAAATTTAATAAATTGTTATGTTATTTTAATACTGTTAAATAAAATAAAATATTATTTATAAAATATTTTATTTTTATTTATTATTTGCTTAAAAAAAAGAATTGATAATAAAGAATATCTGAAGCTACAAGTAATAATAATAAATATAATATTTTCTTTAAGATTTCAAGTAAAATATCAAATAAATATTTTACTTAATTCTAAAAGATATATAAACTTTAATAAAGTTAGAATCTAAATTAGATTAGATAGTTTATATAAATTAGTAGTGGTATTTCTGTTTTTTAAAAATTATATTTAATATATAACTGAATAAAATTACAAATAAGAAAATATGTTAATGTAAATGAACCTATACAGTCAGTCATATACTTTAAATATAAATTACTTAAATAAAATTATATATTATAAGTAATCTTTATCTGAAAAAATAAAAATAAAAATAAAAATAAAATAAATATAATTTATATTTATATATTTTAGATCTTTTAATATACACAATTAAAAATTTTTTAATTTTGAAAATAAAAATAAAAATTACTGAGACTAAAACAAAAAAACAAAAATTTTTAAGAAATAAAATATTATCTTTTGTAATAATTATTAATAATTATATATTTATAAATATAATTCAAATAAAAAATATAATATATAATTTAAGTAAAAAGTATGTATAATATATAATTTAAGTAAAAAGAATAATATATCTTGTATATATGATACAATATTTGATAATTATAAAAAAAAAAAATTTTTTTTTACTTTAAATATTTATTTTAATAAATAATAATAGCAATGGTAGTGGATTGATAAAAAGTAAATAAAATTTTTTTTCAATTTAAATTACGTATATGATTTATGAAATTATAAATGCGAATATAATTTTAATTGTTTTTTTAACATACGTATATATAAAAATAATAAATAAACATTCAAATATATAACTTAATATACATACTGTATATAAGATACAATTTTTTTAAAAAAATATGCATATTGTATTAAAAAAATATAATAATAAATAGAAAATATAAACAAAACTTCTTATGCAAATAAGTATAGCAAAAAGCTTTTGGATATTCAAATATTGTATAATTATTATTAATATATCTTAGTTCATTTTTTTTTCTTTTAAAAATTTTTTTGTAAACAGTGAAATTCGACAGGTCACTATTTAAGCAATATATTACTTCAAATAAAATTTTTTTCTAATATAATTAAAATAGTTAATTCGCAGTATTTAATTCAATTCACGGTATTTTGAAAATATTCAGTATACGTTTTTTTATATATACAGTAAATACAATAATAAAGAATTGAAGTTGACAAAATCATAATAATATATAATGTTTCTACCACTCGCTATTATAAATATTCATATGCCACGTGACTTTTATGGAATACAGTACGGATTTTGAACAAAAATTTTTATATAATTGATAAGTTTTCTATGCTGCATGTCTTAAAATAAGATTAATTTGTTAGACATTTTTAGTTAAACATTTATGTATTTTTTAAAATCATAATCCGCCAATCAGCTAAAGAAATTGATTTTCGATCGCATTTATCATTATGCGGTACGTATGTAGTACGTACGTGCATTCCGAGTTGACAAAATAATGATCAATCGCTTTTTTTCATTGTTGCGTCTTCTTGTTTAACAGTACAAGTTCGTGTGTCATTCCATTTTAGGATGCACGTATTTTGGAGACGTTTTCTTACAATGACCACAATCATGATGCATGCAATTATAAAAGCATGAATTCACAGGCTCTACATATTTTTTATCGCTGTGAAATTTTCTTTCCTCTTCACTAGGTGATGCAACAGTCGTGAACTTACAATGGAGGTCAATTATGGCACGTACCAAGAGGATAAGATCGAGGAAGTTTCCAGTACGTGTAAGATGCCCAAGGCACAACTTGTAGCCATCAGCCCTGATGGGAAATTCTTCGCGGTACTAGATACCAGTAAGTAATGAGTGAATGGATGAATGAATGCGCTTAATCTTAACGCGTGAACCCACATTCTCACACGAATATGCTCGTATGTAAATTAATAGGGAAATTGGAATTCCATCTTGGAGAGATAAGGGACATAAAGAATTATGAAAGTACCAACCTATATCTCGCGGACAAGTTATTCGGATTCCTTCGGGAAATAGGTGATGATGATGATGATGATGATGATTTCCCCAAATATTCGATTGCCATTTCAAACCTCGTTAAACACCAGAAACTTGATGTAATATACGTCGCAATATCACGAGTTGTCAGAAGAGACATGACCAGGAGGAATTTAAAGTCTTCGCCGATGGGAAAATTATGCGAAATTTTACATTGGAACGTCGAGGCAACGAATCCAAGAGATGACGATGTGACTAGCGGTCGCACAGTCATCTGTCGTGTGGAATGTGGGAGTGGACCTGGAAATGATAATTCACATTTCGCGATTCCCGTGTCGGATCCAATGGAGATTAGAGGAAAGGATTGTTATTGTTTTAGTATTGGTGGAATCGTTACTATTGTTCACGAGAGTGATTATCCTCCTTATACAAATATCAATATCTCGATTATCAACACCAATGGAATAAATAAAATAAGTTTGAGAGAATCGAATACCGGAATAAACAGACCATTTGTCAGTCATGTTAACTTTCCGGAAGCTTTAGAAGCCGAAACACCTGAATCATGCATGACCAGGTTACACGCATGTATCTACCATCGCTACTTCCTGCTGACACAAATCAACAGTGGAGCTCGAATGATTGGATTGTACGATTTATCCACCCTCGAGCCAATACAATACTTTGGTATACTAGAACGAAACATGAGGGAGCCCCCAAATCAACCGAACGTCCATTATGCAATATCTAGTAATAGGCAATTGTTTGCATTCTCGTATGGTACCGGAGAAATTAGAATATATTGGATGGAGAATGGCTTGGAAGTTGGGTACCTATTGTTGGGGGGAGAGAACGAACAAAAAATCCGGTTACTTGAATTTGTTGAAAACGACGAAAAGTTATTTATCATGGTTGAAGAATATATTATAAAAGATCACGGAAAAGCTTTAAGGAAACAAGACATCAAGGTTTGGAATTTTTTTTCAAATAACAATGTCATTCGATCTTTCCAGGGAAACGAAATCAAAGGGATGAAGGTCACCAGCCAAATGCGGAGGCCCGGAAAAATCTTTGCGATAGACTGTGACGAAGGAGATGAGAGAGGAGAGGACGAAGACGAAGATGAGGATCTTGATCCAAGTGCTCATGGGCATGACGGTGATGATGAAGGTGACGAAGGTGATTATAAGGAAGAAGATGATGCCGACGAAAAGGAGGAAATTGTTTATGAAGAAAAAGGAGGGAAGATCTATTCCGTATTTGATTTAAAGGTTATAGCTGAGTTTATCAAGGGTAAAAGGTTATCGCCGAATTATCTAGACAATCTCATTGAAGAGGAGAAATACAATTTCGTTGATGGCGAAAAGGAAGGGGGAAAGCACGGAAGGACAAGAGGTCACTTTATCATTCAAAAACGAGGGTCCGAATATATTAAACTTGCCGTTGACAATAGCGAGCAGTTTAAACACGTTGTTAAAGATAGGGAGCCATGGGGACAAGATAAAAATTATTTACAGACATCGTGCTTTATCGATGCCAAAGAAAACCTGCAACTTTTCATTGGTCGAAGTACGGTACAAGTGTGGAGGCGTAGTCTCGGAAAAAAAAAGCCAACGCTAGAGTATATTTGGACGAGTGACGTTGATCCCGAAGAGGAGGTCGATAGATCATTGAATATTCGAAAGTTAAAAGTGGGCGACAAAAGTTTCTTCTTGGAGGTTTATTGGAAAAAGGCAAGTGCAGTGGAGAAAACAAAGGTCATCCGATGGCCCTGCAAGAACAGACACGTTAAGGCCGTAAAGCACGCATGCAAGGCCTTGGGTCATCTTTATTCTCGAAAGAAGAGGATCAAGGGATTGAAGAGATATCAAAAATTCGAAAGATTGATCGAAAGCATCACTTTTATAATCTGGAGATTCATCGAAGAATATCCCGAAGTTTGGAGAATGATGGATATTCGATATAATGTTATGGATTGGCTTGTTCGTGGAAGGTCGTTATTTTTGATCAAGTATATTTTATTTAGAAATAAAGTAGATTTTGGAAAGGGAGAATCAAACATAAGACGAAACTTGCATATACCGAGACTAACCAAATGGAAAAAGAGTGGAGATTCGAGGAATTTCCATCATTTCGATATTAGCTGCCCAAGCAATGCTCTCGAGTGGGCCATTCAATGTTATGACGGTGAGTGACACTCGTCCACGTAAATGTAGACCGTGTTAAAATAATAATAATAATAATAATTATTATATCAACACACGCATAATCGATTCAATGTATCAGGAATCTCTTTGAAGGAAATCATAATAATCGGATATCTTTTAGAATATTACACCAACCGTGCAAAATACCATGTGGGATGGATGATCACAGTATCAAGATGTGTTCCCATGTTGTATGATAAAAGATTGGGTAAGTCATGTATGATTAACACTATGTTATGCGTTTACTGTATTTTACGTGCGCTCACCAATTTTGGTACGCTTAGACTACTATGCGGAGACCTTATTTTATAAGGATTGTTTTGCGGGTCAAGAAATTAATGTGAACTCTAAAACCTGGGGACTCCTGAGTCAAGAATATTTAATAGAATGTGGTAAATCAAAAAGCGTAAAAGCTTTGCGGCCTTATTATCTACGGCATCATTATACCGAATCTTCGATCATGATCAGATTTTTGATACATCTGGTAAATCTATGGAGATGGGTTACCAAGAGCTTTATCGATATGTTTAGAAATTTTTTCCAAGACTGGACTCAAGATAAAGTGGCATCCGATATTTCGTTACGATTAGTACCTTTGCCAAAATTCATACAGGAATATGATGGTGATCAGTCGGAAGATAACAAGACAATCACTTGGAAAAAAACATTGGGGCGAATTCTGAGATCAATAATCATTCCTCAAGGTTACGGAAAATCTAGTGAGTGCATGAGTCCGTTGATCAAGACTCTGAAGCATGTCAGTCAGGATACCACCATTCTTGATAACCCGGCCATGGAAGCCGTGATCAATTACAAATGGCAAGATGCAAGAAACTACTTTCAAAGCTTATTTTTTATATTCATGGTATACGCAGTTTGCTTTGGTATCGTCTCCTGGGCGTACATCACTCACGTCTCGGCCGAGGGTGTCTACAGGAATCTGATTGTCTTCATCATTGCGTTATTTTACTACTTGGCCTATTATTTATTTGCAGTTGAAGTGCAACAATTTTTATTACACGGGATCGGAAAATACTTCAACATCTTTAATTTTTTCGATTTGATTTCCCTGGTGGCGCCAGTCGTGGTGATGTCAATTATGGTTGCTACTTCTTTTCAGTTTGAAGATGCCTTCGGAAGTGTCACTTCAAAAAGAGATCTCGTGATAGCAATATCATTCTCGGTTCTAATCCTTTGGGCGGAATTTGTAAGTTAAACGAACGTTAAATTTTCTTCATTTATCTTTGGTTCGATCGATCCTTGAACTCATTATCTTGACTTACGATGTAGGTTCTTTATTTGCGTTCTTACTCGGGTATGCTATTTCCATAGTCCTTTCGAAAAAACATTCATTCATTCATTGACTAATTCCACGAATTTCTTATTAGCCATTGCGATTTACATCTATATGGTTTTTAGCATTCTAAAAGAGGTGTGGCCGTTTCTGGCGTTCCTGATCCTTGTGGTCATTGGATTTGCACATGCAATGTAAGACCCTAACAAATTAAAATTTTGTTAAAAGCTATTTAAACGAAGCATCATCTCAAAAATCATTTCATTTCTTTAGGTACATACTGCTAGCCCGGCCAACTTTTCTAAATCTTATTCCGAACACCAGTTCCTTTACGATCACGAACACTACCACGAACGCCACAATTGATGCCAAAATCACATCCGATTTTGATCCAAATTTATACGTCGATAATCCATTTTCGTATTTTCTAACATCCATGGAGGCTACATACCTATGGCTGGGTGGCAATTGGTCCCAAGAGGGTACCTGGGTATTTTGGGCGGTTCAGGCATTATCGTTACTGGGCAGTATCTTATTGGTCACGGTGTTGCAGAATCTGCTTATCGCATTGATGGGGTATGTAAAGTGACGTGTAGAGATTGTGATGACCATTTACTTGTGTAAACATTATTCCGACTTATTTCCTTTTATTCTCCTTTACCAGTGGCGTGTATTCCACGGCGTCTGAAAAAAGTCACTCTGCTCTTCTTCGATTTCGTGCTGATCTAATATTGGATTATGAAATATTAGACAAAATCTATATTTTTCCTCCAGAAAAGGATCCTGATGTAATTTGGTTTTCCGGCTCATCAAAGAATATCAATGATTGGTTGGGAAGTAGAAAATTCAAGAGTGAATGCTTGTACAAAAAGTATGAGGACGAGTACATTTGTGATGAATATGAGTTTAGTCTTGATAGAAAGAATGCTAAGCAGGATTCGGATGGATCTTTTTGGGTGTTTCCAGGTGAAGGGAAAAGGATTGAAGATAGAATGGAAATAATGGAGCACGCAACGGAAGGGGTGGAAGAAAGTGAAGTAGCACAGCTGAAGAAAAGCATGGATGAGAAAATCAAAGATTTACAAAACAACTTTAATCAACTATTACAATTATTGCAAAAGGAATGATGTATAATCTATAGTCCCATTAATGCAGTATACTGTACATATCGTATATTTAATTTTGATGTCGCGTGTGGAAATGCTTTGCGCACGAATAAGTAGAATAAAGGTATTCGATAAGTAGCTACTCGTAAGTCAAAAACGATCGTGGACAAAAGAATCTGACCGATGCCCTCTATGGTTTTTCGGTGAAGGCGTTAACAAATGAACATAACTTCCTTATCACAGTAATATCCAATCAATATTCTTTCACCCAAACTTTTTATTTATAAAGTTTTCTATAAAGTACATTGTCTGCCTAAGAATTTCCAGTTTCCCGGAAAGTAATACTTATTACGGTAATTTACCTTTTTACAGTATTTAGCAATAAATATACGTATATGGTATATTGATATGAATGATTTTTTTTTAATATACCACATATCAATCGATCGAATAGAAATAGTAAGTAAGTCAATAAAATCATGTGATCATTTGATCTGCTCAATTCGAAAATTCGAATTGGCAAGAAATGCCTCACGTCATATTAACTCAAACATATATGAGAATAAAGAAAGTCTATAACCTACTACATTCTTTTTACATTAGCATACTAACGGCAGCGAAGTCGTTGTTCCTACGAAAGAGAAAGGAATCTTCTCTGACATAGGCATAACGTTTGAGAGATTATAATAAGCCTTTGCCTCGCTCAATCAAGGGGGAATTTATTTTGTTTGATCTGAATTGATTTCACAATGAATTGTTCGTGGTGGTATGTACCCAGGTTTGTCATCCTGTAACAAACAAGGACTTACCGCAGTTCGTGGATCGTTCGTCAATTACATTGTACTGTACTGTGTGCATGGTCACGCTAACAATACTAACCAAAATTTATTAACGTTAGGAGAAAAACCCACGCGAGAACAACGCATCAAAGGATTAAAATCGACTAATCATGAATGGACAATTATGCTCTTATGTGAACATGTGCGTAGTAAATGATCATGATATAGTGCACTTTGTTTATATTATAACATGTGCACAAACCAAAAATTCTTGGAAACTATCACAAATAACGTCAAAGTTCCCGAAAAAAGGTGGCACAGATCTTCAAAAAAAGAACGATTCCTAATACTGTATAAGTTTAAAATAAACTTGTTATGTCCGAGATCTGAAACTTTCATTTATTTCCAATTATTGTTTATTGAAGTAGTGTACCCATACACCGTTTTTTGGTCATCAAGTCATCAGTCATCATTTTTATCAACATTCACCTATTTTTACTTTACCTCGCTACGTTTAAAGAGAAAGTTTTTTTTTTTTTTTCTGATCGTGAAAAGAATAAATGTCCAAACAAAACAATAATTAAATAACCTACAATTCAAGTGACTTTTCTGTTATCATTTCTTTACTTTTCTTGTGTTACTCACGCTCATATATTTTATTTATAAAACTTCCTGGCTTTACAAAAAATATCAACGTGCAAAAAAAAAGAGAAAATTAACTTCGCACCTTCCACAGACCTTGACTCTCCTCTGCTGTAGATCGGTAGATATCTCAAAAACTCATTTACAAAAGTTTAATTGTTCAATTGCGACCTATTCAGAAAATAGATATTCGTATATACACCCGAATATATCAAGAATGTACCTAAAATCAACTCATTCTCAGCTGGTCGATGGTGGTCATCAATGGGAGATAACATTGTTTTGCCACACCGAGGCTAACAGTATAATTCATGTGGACATCTTACCAAAATCCAAGAGTTCAAAGGTGGTGCCCAATGATGCTAAGCCTGCACCCACGGCGTATACTATGACTTACACCACCAGCTCTCGACAGGAAGTTCCACCCGTAAAATTTACGGCTACAATAACATTGAAAAACAATGAGAAAAAGGTGGTTAGCGTACCGGCCAACATGGCTACAGATAGAAAGCGGCGAAAGGCAGATGGATTGACCGACGACGAAGATGGTTCGGACGACAGAACTGGCGATAATACGGATGGTTTTGCAACAGAGAAGCCAATTATTCCACAAGAAGAGCCAATCAAAAGAAAGAGAGGTTTTTGTGCAGTGCTTTGTACTGGCAAATCATCATCGAAAGAGTTATCGGAGAAGGATGCAGAGAACGCGCCTGGATGTTGCTGCGTGATTATGTAAATTTATAATACTAAAAATATAATAGTGGCGAAGTTAAGGTATGTGTATTTCTATGCCAAGGAGTGATCGTGTTTTATTCAGAGAAGGTTCAATTTGAGTAACGAAAAGTCAAAATCATCTATCACATTCCAGGTCTGTTTACCAAGTTTTATTGGTATCATTCGATAAGAATCACATAAAATGATTTGTTGGTTCTTGCAGCGTGTATTATACTTTCTTTATAATGACTTGTGGTGGCAATTTTTTGGTCAGGAAAATTTTTTGATATTCGCTCTCAAATATTTATCAAGAAATCGGTGTTTATCTTTTATATTATCTTCCTTCAATTTCATTGCTTCAACTCAATCCTGTCATTGACACATTTTATAGACATATATTATTCATAATATCTAACTCTGCATGGAAAATCCCCCATCAACCTTTATATTTCATTACTGTACATGAATTATTCATATTTCACCATTGTTTTCACTTTGACCGTATAACATTTTCTTATTGGAATTGCCATCCAAAAATTGATAAAGTTCAGTGAAACCCATTTAAAATATTCAAAACATAATATCGTGAAAATATATTCGTGTTTGTCCAAAGTGATTACTTCACTTTAGGAATGTCCAAAATACCGAGCCGAAAACTCATCAAAAGCGTTCGATCCGTGAAACGTTATTTCTAACATCAAATCCATCCATCCATCCATTCATTCATTGATATTTCTATCAACCAATCTCAAAGGTGTATATGTTAAGGCAAAGAAGCCTAACGAATTTTCCGAATAAACTTTATCTTCAGGACTGAGGTCGACAAATCGAGTATCAAAACCCATTAAAGAACGAATTTATCATTATTCAAGTGATGTACAGGTATACATTTGATTATACAGTATGTATACAGTATATGAATAACTTTATTACAAGTTAAAACGGGTAATTATTAGACTATAGGGGTTCTAAAATTAAGTTGATTGTAATTTTTCTACAAATTCATTTATGTATTTTCTTATGTGCAAAAATAATATTAATAATTAATAATTAATAAATTTCGGAGGAATCTAATTTATTTTTAATTAGTTTTTTTTTTTTTTCAGTGTAAAAAAAATTCCAGTCTGTTACAAAAGTATTTGGACTCTTATGGTAGCTTACAATTTAATAATATAACATAATATTTATATACTGTATATTATTTAATGATTTAAAGATTAAAATTAATTAAAAAGTTTTATTATTATATAGTAATAATATTATTGAAATTAAATTTGAAATTAAAAATACTTGAAAAAAATTTTTTTAATCATTAAAAAAATGATTATTTATTGTTTTTATATTTTGCTAAAAAAGTTTATTAAAAAATAACCAAAAAATTATTATATGATTTTTTCGTGATTTTTTTATTAATAAAAAAAATTTTATTTAAATAATTTCAAATCTATGGGTTTTTACAAATACATTAATTTTTAAAAATTATATCAATATTTGATAATTTTTTATATTAATTAGACTATTCTTTTTTTTTGAAGGGAGTTTCCCCAGTAGGTAAACATCATTTCTTTATTTTTATTATATATTGTAGATATACATTGTAAAAGAAACAACATCTCTTGGATGTGTATTGCATACAACAAGTTAAATGCTAGCTTGCCTACTTGATCACTATCTAACTAATATTGTAAAAAGAATTTTAAAAGCAATATTAAAATGTTAAATATTGAAGTAATGGCTATACCTACCTACTTGACAAAATTTTGCGAAATCTTTTGATTTTTTAAATAAAAAATAAATAAATAAAAATAGCAACAGTGACTAAAACTAAAACTAAATCGAATAAACTATAAAATCTATAAGTAGAAGTCCAATTATTTCCCCAAAAAAGCCCCCAGACAGGCACGTGGTCCCATCTTTCTGACTCTTTGATTATCATAGATATAAGAGTACACGTGACATCATTTATTATTATAGTTGTTGTTGTTGTTGTTGTTGTTGTGCTGAAAAACCAGTTTGAACAAGTTCAGTTTTTTCCTTGTTGTTTTGACGAAATCTGATTGGATGATTGGAGAGCGATGATCATCTGAAGGAGGTAAACTGATTTCGGTTTTTTGAACAAAAAGTTTTAAAATTTTGGAATGGCACAATAATTGTCGACATGATAAGATTGTATATAAAGGTTGTGTTAAAACAAACAGTAGACCCAATAACTTTGTTTGAGTGTGTTTTTTGAAAAGTATTTGACTTAGCATGTATAATGGTATTGATATAGATAGTTTTTATATTATAATAGGTAAAAGGAGGGGTGCAAAAGAACAAAAAAAAAGAGAACTGCCATGGGCCTTTTCTCATGCAATCAAAGGATAAACAAGATTTCCAAACTTGAGTAAACTTCAACTAGAGGTCCCATCCCACTGCACCAGTTGTCTTGAAAGTTCTTAAGTTTTTGAGCTGGGGCTCACTTGCAATAAAGAGTGTAAAACATTTTTTCTTGACAAAAATTACCATAAAAGGAAAATTTTTAGCAAAGTAAACATAATCAGAAAAGAGTTTTTTTTTTAATTAGACTATTCTTCTAATTTTAATAACTAATAATTTTATAATAAATCTTATTTAATAATAAAAATTGTATTTAATTTATTTTTAATAATGCAATCATTGGTTTTATTAAAATTTTTATTAAAATCTTTAAACAAAATTTTTGATATAAACTTATTGATTAATTATGAATATAAATAAATATATTAATTTTATATTATATAAAAAATATTTTTTATAATTTAAATATTGATATATTGATTTTTAACAAAACATAAACTTTTGAAAATCAATAATTAACTTATAAAATGTTTAAATAAAAATATTATAAAAATATATATAATTTTATTAATTAATATCTAATAAATTTATTTATTAAAATAATTTAATAAAAACCCTTTCCCATAAATCAATTTTTGTCAAAAAAATTTTTTTTATAGTAATAACCTTTAAAACAAACACTTTGTTCTTTCCTAAGCATTTCCAAGTGCACTTTATACCCTAACTACTCTCACCATGGAGCACTCAACCTTCTCAACAAATTAAAAACAATTTCTTCATGCAACTATTCATAGTGACTGGAACTGTAAACTTCAAATTTATTACCTCGACTTAAAAACAAATACAATCCACAAAACTGATTATGCCAGAACTATTACTATTTCCAATCTTGTCAACTATTCTAAACGCTTCCTCGTTATCAAAGAAGGGAAAAATATAGAAGAAATTCTCAATACTAGTGCCATCAAGGATATCAAAACTATTATTTTTGAAGAAACTGTTGTCAAAAAAGATGCAATTCCTATGATTAAATCCATCGTTCAAAACCCCAGAACTGAAAACTTTGACTTCAACTATATTGTTAAACCTAAAAGTTTAACTTTTCCGAAATAGAAAATTTCTTACCAAATATCGATTCAACACATTAATTCGCTAATAATAGACCTATAGTATTTTTATCCGCTGAACAATTTTATTTAGAATCTGGAAAAAGGTTTCGGTTACCACTTTTGCGATAATCAAGAATTTCGGTCAAACATTTATAGTATCCAATTAAAATATAATGTTATATCACGTGAT